CCCCCGATGAGGAATAAAACAAATTAAGTTCACAAATACAACTTGAAGCTAGAAAGCCTCACATTGCACCTAAAGCCTTTAACAGGAATCAGGCCACTTAACAAGGAATTTTTTTTCTCTTATTGGGAAGCTTTATTTCCGAGCACAAGCGACAAGCGTTTCTGCAAGGAAGCAGACATGGATCACAGTTAGGTGCAGCCCTGCACTGCTGAGGGGAGAGTCTGACCTCATAAGTTCCTGTGGGGGATCTGCTTTCCCCTTCCCAGCAGCACTGATGCTGAGAGCCGTGCTCCTCAGTTCCTTCAGAGGAGGCAGCACCCTGCATCCTCCATGCACCCTGGCCCTGCTCTGGTGGTCGGCTGAATCACATTTTTGCCATTTTGTTGGCCTGTAGAGCAGGTAACTGACTTCTGTGCTATTAATGGCCCAATTCTGCAGGCTCTTGTAATTGCAGAGTTGTGCTTGCTTCTGGCTCATTTGCTTCTGGCTCATCTGCAAGTCGGGATGCAGAGCTGATTCCTCTAATCCCTCCTCCACAAAGAATTGCTGCTGGTTTCTCAGTTCTGCAGAACTCAGGTTGTGCTGACCCATCTTGATGTTGCTCCTGATGTCGTAATGTGATTACTTTCCCCTCCATGTCATTCAGCTGTCGGTGGGCTCTGCGCTGATGAGACTTGAAGCAGCCCGGCTTGGTGGCATGGACCACTGGCTGAGATAATATACTGGTGTGAATAAATTAGCCCTGCAGCAGTTCACACAAGAGATACAGAGTTTGAGTTTTAGTGGATATATGTATTTTTTTGATAGTTCATTTCTTATCACCTTCTGTTCATTGTAACCATCCACCCCAAATTGCCAAGGAAGCTTTCAGCCTGTTAATGATATGCTTTAAATATACTGTAAAAACAACATACATTAACTGTGAAGGAGATATCTTAGGTCATTTTGTCCATTCCTCTGTTAAGATAGATTATTTATTATTTGTGTTTCTTACTACTTTGTCTACTACTTTGTCCAGTCTGAAAGTGCTGTTTATGAATTTCTTTGAGAATTTTTCAGGCCAAGTTTATCCTTGGTATAACATAAGTTATTGAAATTGTCTGATCTTTAGAGTAGAAGTGTTCTGCATTAAGATTATTACTAGTTTCAAAGTGTATTCCTTGATTTCTCAAGGTGTCCTTCACAGAGTTTCCTAGTGCTGCTCAGACTAAGTAGGCTATCAGTTCCCATTCACTTTTCTAATAACAAACTGCAATAATTTACCTGGATGGAAAAAAATTAGCAAGCTTGTATAAGGCCTCCCAAGGACACATATTTTCAGAAGTACATTGCCCTGCATTGTGGTTTCTGACACAGTAGGGATGGACAGAATGAGATGAAAGAAATTATCAGTCTCTGCTTCTATTTTAGTTCTTAAGATTTTTTTTTTTTTTTTTCTCTGAGTACAACAAACCCTGAGCTCCCAGGATAAACAAAAATTTGGCTGAGCACCAGCCAAATAAAACCTCCCTTAACACCTTAGGATTGTGCCCTGTCTGAACAAACATCCTGGAGGGAGTTTTCTGAAGCTTTCTGCCTTTGCCTGACCTTGTGTCATGGGAACTGAAGGAGATTTGATACTGATCTTGGGCAAGATGAGTTGCTCCAGTACCGACTTCTCTGTATTGTATACCATAGCATGGGTTTATAATATGACATCCTGAGCTGGTCGTTAACCTGACTGCAACCTGAGCTGAGGTGTGCCCTCTGAGAGGTAGTTAGAGCACAGGAAAGTGGCTTTCCTTGATTAAAGAGAAACTGAGATGAAAGTGTCAAAAAGTTCCACTTTTACATGTAAAATTTACCTGCTATCATCACGGACCTGTCATGCGTTCTCCACAAAGCATTGGTTTTACAGACGAGGGTGCAAAAGCAGCTGAACACGTGCTGAAGTCCACTGGAGAGGGGGGACAGATCCCCACTGCACATCCTCAAAGGTGCAGCAGAAGGATCACTTGCTCACTTATGAGCTACATCTGCTCAGACCTACCCAGCCACATAGTTAATGTTTAGATTAAAGAATCAGACATGATCAGATTACATTTATTTTCTGTGTTATGCAGCTCCATGGAGTACCAGAAAGAGAGGTCTTTTGTAAGCCAGCTGCCTCGTGGCTCTTATGGTAGACTTACAAAAGTGTCTTGAAATTTTGTATGAACACACCCATCTGTATGATTTCCTTGGTGTACAGAACAGTGTGCACTTCTTCGTTTCGACAATGGTTCAGGTCTCACTGTTGTCTACGATTGCAAAAAATCGTATGGGTGGGGAGCTAGAGTTTACATTTGAGGGCTTCTGTACCACTGAGTGGGTCTTAAGAAATGCTTAGTTTAGATATTTGAGGGTCCTGGCAATGGGACGACTGACAGCTCAAGCTTGAAGGACCCGAAAAGCAGTGAGAATTTTATTCTTAGTTGGGTTTTATCCTCATGCCTTGAATTTTAGCCTTTCTCAACACCAGCAGATACACCAGCATCATTAGAGGCTGCTTCTTCAAATGAAAAAGCCCAGAACTGGAGTATATGGTTAATACATGGTGATGCTTTCTTATGTTATTGTCCAGTCATTCTGAAATTTCTCTGCAGAACTCCACATTCAAAGTTAAAGGTAATATTCCTTTTAAGGGCCAAATATCGACAAAATATTTAAGCATGTTCTTAACTTGATGACATTTCACCTCAACCTTGTGTCACTCAGAACATAAAACATATGCATTACTGCTTAGGTCCTATGGATCGTTAGAGAGTTTATGACCTCCATGTTTCATTGAACAAGCCTGTTACTTTTATAATTTATAATATAAATAATACAATAAATGCGATAGAATAGGATATAATATGATAGAATGTGATAGAATGTGGTAGAATAGGATATAATATAATGTATTATAATGTAATATAATGTATTATAATGCATTATAATGTATTATATTGCATTATAATGTATAATATAATATAATATAATATAATATAATATAATATAATATAATATGTGATATAAAAGGATATAATATGTGATATAAAAGGATATAATAAGATATAACATGACATGGTATATTAATATACAAGAATATACACTAACATAACATAATATAATATGACACAATATTATATGATTAACATGTTTGATATAATATAATGAAAAATTATAAATTATATTACATATTATATATAATGTATTATATATTTCATGTATTATATATATGTCATATATTAATACTTTTATAGTATTACTATTATAGTATAATAGTATGTATTTATATATTATATGCAACATAGACAACCTATTTAAATATTTATTAATATTTGTTTTATATAAAAGATTATATAATATATTGCATATAGTATGTACTATATGTACTCTCTATATAACTATATGTATAGTCGATATATTATTTAGTATATATTTTTAGCAATACAGTATAATTTATGTGTTATCTGCATTTTACTCCCTGCATGTGACGCGGTGAACATTGTGTCTTCAGATTAGTTTTCCAACTGTTGTCTAGTTAAGTGTGTAAAAGATTTCACTAAAACACACTTTTTGCATGTTTAAAACACTGAATCAATATTCTCCCTTCTCAGAAAGAAGGCATAACGTAGTAATAACGGAACAAATGTGTGAACGGGCTGTCGTGAATAGGTCTGGTGAGTTTTAGTTACTGTACTGTTAATCAATTTCCTGGGTTTAGGTTGTTTGTTTGTTTGTTCGTTTGTTTGTTTTCTTTAACCTGAATACAAACATTATGGATTAAGAAACATCTCTCATCCAGGAAATTTAAAGTAATATACACAAGTTACATGTAAATTATGTGCATGGTAATTTACTTTGCTATCTAGACCCTGATTTCTTTATCAATGTAGTCGAAATTATATTTTTGAAGTCAAAACTACTCCTGAAATCAAACTGGAGGACTTTTAATCCCTTTCCTTAAAACATGTATTAACATAATATTTCTATTACATAGTTAATTTCTATTATATGTGCTCTGTTTTGTGTACATTTCTATATAAGAAAACCAGATAATGTTCTTTCTATTGAATTGTAAGTCTGATCCTTGTTCTCAGAAACAAGTATGAACTATGTAACTGAACGATTTGAAGCACGTTAGGTAAATGGAATATAATCTTGTATAAATATTTAAAATGTTTTCTGTATTTATAAGGACGATTCCCTTGAGGAAACACAGTCTCTCAGGATAGGAGTTAATTCAAAGCTAAAGCAGAGCAGCTGACTTTTCAAACTCCCCCACACTGCTGAAATGTTGATTGATTCAGGAGCTAGTCTGGAAAGTGATGGTGTTGACGTTAAAAAAAAATAATAATTATTCACCCTCAGTAAAATACACAGAAAAGGGAACCCCACAGTAAGGTCTAGTCCCAACAGAGATGTCACACAGAAGATGAGTGATTGCTGATGAAGAAAGCGTGTTTGATGGTTTTATGATAGATTTTTGCTATTTATCCTCATTCTGAGCAAGTTGGAGCTTGTCAGCCAGGAAGGAAGACCCTGCTAAAGGTGAAACCTGTTGTTAACAAGTTAAAGCTTGCCCTGAAGTCACTATCTCGGGGACCTGCCTGGGGACAGCACTGCACTCCAGAAGGGACACACTCTGGTGCCACCTGAAAAAGCTAAGAGATGAGTGATTTCACTAACAAGAACTGTAATTAAATGGAATCTTAACCATCCATAACTTGGTCAATATCGAGTTTCACGCACAGACTAGGCAATGCAGTTTCTATATAAGGCTACAGCAGGGACCCAGACCTCTCTGAGTTGACATCGTTGAGTATCAGAAATGCAATTATCTCAAAAATATCTGTCTTAATCTTTCTGAGCCTCTCTTTCATTGCTAAAAAAGAAGTTAATGATAATAAAAAAAATCTTAGAGTGCTGAAGACACCTCCTTCATCCTCAAAACTGATCTTTCATGAAATATATTTTTCCATAGTAAACAACAGTTTAAAAAATATTAAGTAAAGCTACATTTCTAATGTTCTCTTGAAAGGAAAGGTTAATGTTTTGTTATGGTAATTTTTAACTAAAAATATATGTAAAAATTTAAAAGAAATAAGAACTGTGCCATTTTTAATACTGAATATTGTTCTATAATTTAAGTGTCACAGAAAGTGACAGCATTTTTTTGTTGTTGTTCATTTTGTTTTGTAACAGAAAGAATGGAATTTTTTCCAGAGAAAGCAGCAAATACAAGCCTTCCCTTCCACAGGTCCTGCTGTGGGTGCTGTTATTTCTAGTGTTCAACTCCTTAATGTGTTAGCATCCCTGGGTAGAAAAATACACAATTATCATCATTATCATAAGTAAACTGTACCATCTTTTAATTCTCTTTGTTATTTTTGCAGTGTTCAAAGAATGTTCTAAGTACCTTTGCTTTTCAAAATGATATATCAGGAAGCTCTTTACCAGAAAGTTCTCAAAAGAAATCCTGCTTAAATTTCTTCATGTTTTACTGTTTTTGTAGTGATTTAAATTTTCATTTTAAGCACTTAAGTTTTGAACACATGACTGGAGGCACTTCTGCTAAAATGTACTACTTTTTATTGAATTACTATCTGAAGAACTTACCTGAGATGGGAACACCACTGTGCTGGGAACTGTGAAAACACTTTGGGCTAAGTCCTGGCCCATTAAAGCCAGTGGCAGAAATCCCATTCACTTCGATGGAGCCAAGAGTCAGGTTTCACCCACAGTGAGAGACGGTCCTTGTCTAGAAATTCTAGACCTCACCGCTCTTGGGCTTTGGCAAGTGAGTCAGGAAACCTCTCCAGCCACCCGTACACAGGATAAATACTCCAAGAGGTTCCTATCAATAGGACTCAAACACAAATAAACAAAACCTAAGGATGTGGCCCATGCAACAGCCCAAGTCTCTTTGTCTCTTTTCTGGAACTCTTCACAGGCCCCTCGATTTCTAATTGAAATCTGCAAAATGCTAAATTCATTATTGTCTCTCCATTGTGCTCTTCGTCAGAGGCAAAGGCTGTTATATGTCACTGCTTGGTATCGGCAGCACACAGTTAGACAGATAGACGCAGACTTCATTTACTTTTGGAGAACTATTCTTCCTGGAGTTTATTGTTTGTTTGGTTGTGGGTTGGGTGTTGGTTTTTTTTTTGTTTTGTTTTTTTTTTTTTAAATAGTCTCAGACTAGAACTCCCTGCATCTTTTAGCTCCTATTTTGGAAATACCTCCATGGTAGGAGACTCCCAAGTTCATAGCCTCTACAGTGTTTTCAGTTTGTAAGGTTTACAACATGACATATTTTAAGCCTGGATAGTTCCACTGAATGAGAAAAGTCACAGGTGAGCATGTTTTGCTTCACATCCTTTCTTATGTTGGAGATGAGAGGCTTCTAGAAGAGGAGGAAAAAAAAGTTCAAGGCTTCATCAAGGAAACAGAAAACTTGTCTATTTGCCCCTCAGAGTGCCTCTTGCTTTTTCTGAACAGATCCATTTCAGGGGAAGCAGACTGTCTCTACTGCAATTACGGGTATGGGATGGCAGTTTTCATCCGAATGAAGTAATATGGATGTGAAAAACAAGTAAATCATGCTGATCATCCAGCCTGCCCCCCTGTTTTGGCAAGATCTTTTGCTGACTGAGATGAATTTAAACCTGCAGTGGGTGTGTGTAAAGAGATAATATTAAGAGTTCCAGTCAGAAAAAAAAGGGCCACGCTTTCCAGCATGTGAGTTAACTGGCTATCTTAGGTAGTTTAAGAAATAATACTGCTCTTTCCTACAAAGGTTGTCTCACTTACAACCTAAGAACATCACACCTACCAGTTAAAGCATCTTTACTGTATTCTCTCTGTCCATGTAGATACTTTCTCCTGAATTTCTTTCAGAGGTAATGAAGAACTGGTAAACTCAGCATTTCATGGTGTTTGATCCATATTCTACTGCAGAATGTACCAGGTAAGGCTCTAATCTACTTCCATTTGCAGAGTACCAAAACCAATCAAGTTGCTCTTTTGACTGATATATTTTGGCTGATCTGCATTGTATCAGATTTATGGGATTATGAAGTTTTAGAAGAATGGATTATTGAAAGTCTTAAAACTGTTTTTTATCACATCTTACTCTGTCACCAGATTTCGTATTTCATTAGGCTTCTTCACATTTCAGTTCCATCATTGTTCACAGAGTTCAAGGGAAAAAAGCCAGAGAAGACTGAGAAACATAAAAGGAAAATATGAACAAAATAACCATCTCAAGCCAAGTGTTGGTGGGAGGTGTTATGTATAATAGGGTAATCCCATGTTCCTGCAATAAAACAATCACATGATAGAGGATAAAGAAGAGTCACAAATAATGGTGGGAAAGTCTTCTATAAAGAACTTCAAGAACAAGTATAATTAACAAAGACATTATTAATTGTGGGGAAAAGCACTTTGACCAGCCTTCCCTATGATTTAGAATGTTTACCAATGGTGCACACACAGTTCACCAAGCCAATAAAAAGCAAAGGCTATAAAAATGTTAGCAGAGGGAGGGAGGAGCCTGTGTGTTATGCCTCAAAGGGCAATTTGGTAGTGCTGAACAATCTTCTTAATTCACCCAAGTGTGATTTGTATTTGTGCCCAGAGCAATGTTTGATGTAACCTTGCCAGTCTGTGCTGCCTGCAAGCATCATAACATACTTTTTCTGTGTCTTAAAGCTACCAGCCTACAGTGCCATGGACCGACCCATGTGATGTTTCCTTCCTTTTCCCAGAACTATAATGCATGAGAAGTCCTCACAAGGTAAAGTTCAGTGCTTTCTTTCATCATTTCTGCACCAAATTTCTTTGTGGATGTTGAAGTCAAGTGTTCCTCAACTCTTCTAGCTGGCATAAGAAATCACAGCAAAGTTGAAGTTGTCACCCCAAGGAGAGAACCAGCTTGAAAAACAGATAACAAAGTGGCCAAGTTAAGAGCCACACACTTGCATGGTGATTACTTTGGCATGCCACCAAACTCTGGGAAGAAGGGAAAGGGACAGAAGAATTTTCTATTGGCTGAATGTTAAACTGTCATGACTATCATGTATGAAAATTATCTGTTACTATTGAGAGAGTCTTTTAAAGATACAGAAGGCTAACTCTCTTCAGACTAGTCTTCAGGCTACAAAACCTCCAGCCATCTACAAGGACAGTGCCACAGCTCTTCAACAGGAAATCTGCCTGACAGAGCCACAGGAATATTTATGTGGGGCCAAGGGCTGGTTTGAAAATCCCTGAAGCATTCCATCATGTTAAGACCTGTGTTGATATGATAAGGGCTATGTTAGTTTTTACTAGCTGGAAACTATTTTTATTTATGTCATAGTGTCACAATGATATATGACTATCTTTGCAAGTCTAAATATATATATATGAGGACCTTTTATTCTTATTTTTAACTGTAACTGTCTAAAATATTCCCTGTCATAACTAGAGAGAAGTTAGCAAAAAAGGAATTGAAAGTCACAAGAAAGTTATAAAGCAAATGAAATTGCATCTGAGAAAGATCTTATTGAAGAAATACATACTACATATTGTCCCTAGTACCAGTGTCTAGAAATCTGGCAGCTTTATCATGTATAGCTCTCCATCTTCTTTCAAAGCTTCTATCCAATCCTGATTTAAATATATAAATGCTATTTAATATTTGAATGAATAAGGTCAGTATTTTCACAGATTGTCTCATATAGCCTGGGGCCTGTTTCTGTGCTAAGCTGCACATCCGTTTACAGTCGTATCATAGGACTGGGTATACAGAAAGCTCATTGTTTGCTAGTTACAAAGAGAAGCCTACTAGTTCATGAAACAAAACAATTTTTAATTCTGTTGCACATCCTTCAGCCGAATCATGTCCTCAGAACAACAAATGATCACCGCAAAATGGTAAGTGGACCTGGGGACTGACAGTAGTGTCCTCTAGAAAGAGCTAGTTTCAGAAGTTGCTGCTTATTGTTGTCTAAGAGCTCCAGCTTATGTTCAAAAAACCCCTCATGATTCATTGCAAGAGACCCTTCCCACTAGACTGAAACTCCAGACAGCTGTCAGTATTTATCTCACTATGTCCATTATTTTATCTTAGTGTGCAATCAGACAAAGTGAGAGAAAAACACACACACACAAGTTTATGAGCACTGAGCCCACATGAGGCATATTTGATATTTTGGCAGTAAGCTTTCAATTTTCCAGCTGTGCCAAGTCAAGAAACATGCTAGAAAAAGAAACTAGTGCATAATTAAGTCTTCCTTTTTTTTTTTTTTTTTTTTTTTTTTTTTTTTTTTTTTTTTTTTTTTTTTTCCGCCCTTGGAGACTACTCAGTTGACTTTAATTATTCTCTCTCTCTTTTTTTTTTTTTTCTCTCTCAGCTTGGGAAGTTATTTTGTTTTCAATTTTTTTCAAGTGAGCTTTCTCACCAAATAGGTTTGTTTAAGTTCTCACCATTCTCCTGATTACTAACAAAACAATTCAGCTTTCAAATACCAAGCCAGAAAAAGAGCTATGCACTGGGGAAAGGAAAACAGGGATGCAGCACTAATATTTATTTTATTACTATCGATTTTACATTGTCAGTGCTGTTAAATGGCTTGGTATTGCCATTTCAGTCATGGGTCCTCCCCTCTGCTTCCCGCTCCTGGTTATGATCTGTGTCCTTTTCTTTGTTCCTTACAAAAGATTATCCTCTTGTCATCTTCCTTATAATTCAAACATAAGATTCTTTGTACAGATGAGTGGAGTTACTGTAGGGAGAAGACAAAGATGTTAATAACAAAAGTTCTTGGACTGTGGCTTATCTTAATCGCTCTACCTTTTCTTCCAAGCAGTAGTCACCAGGAGGCTGAATCCAGAGCATGGCATTCTGAAATACAATGATTAGTAAAGAAACTTCTGAGGCAAGATTACAAAACCCTCAGTGAAAGGTCGAATACAACTGTAATTATTAGAATCCTAGAGCAGAATATATAGGTTATTCTGCTTTCCTATCTGTTCTAGGGAGCATTTACATTTCACAGAATCGTAGAATAGTTTAGATTGGAAGGGATCTTAAAGACCATTTAGTTCCAACCCCCCTGCCCTGGGCAGGGACACCTTCCACCAGCCCAGGCTGCCCAAAGCCCCGTCCAACCTGTCCTTGAACCCTTCCAGGGAGGGGGAAGCCACAGCTTCTCTGGGAAATCTGCTCCTGTGCCTCACCACACTCACAATGAAGAATTTCTTATGTCTAATTTACGTCTACCCTCTTTCAGTTTATAAAGCATTATCCCTTGTCCTACAACTACAACCCCAATCCAGAGTCCCTCCCCCCTTTCCTGCAGCCCCTTTCAGCCCTGGGAGGCCACTCTAAGGTCTCCCCGGAGCCTTCTCTTCTCCAGCTGAACCCCCCAACTCTCTCAGTCTGTCCTCACAGAGGGTGCTCCAGCCCCCTGAGCATCTTCATTTTTGCTCACTTAAAGGAAAACACTAGTTTGCACTACCTGAAAGTTGGGACTTCTCAGCCTAAATATGGGTCCTTACTGAAAAATCTATGATGGTCATAGCTCTGGGATCTCAGTACTATAACTTGTGGATGTAAAGTTACTCACAGGTTCATACAGTATTTACAGAGACAAAGACTATAAGTTATTACTGAAGTGAGGTCTGCAGGTTTCACTTTTGCCAAGTATCAGACATGGTGGCTACACTACAGTAATAATGTAAATGGGTCAGTGCCTGTTGCCTCTCCCCAAGGCCAAGTGGCAAGTTGCGTTTGGGTCCACAGACCCAAAGTTTCCTCCCTGCCCTGCCAGGGCAGTGGGCTTCTCTGCCCGGCTGTTGAGAACTAGACCTGGTCTGTGTCACCTGCAAACCATGCACAGGTCATAGCCATGGGAGCACTGGTTGTCACAGTGTACGGCTGAACTGGGACATAAGCTTGGAGTTGGACCATGTGAGTAATGCGGGGTCCACGCTCAGACCTGTGCCTTGTCTGCTTTTACTGAGATATGTTGATGCTGGTTTTGTGTACAGTGTTGGTTCAGGTGAACCCCCCTCCCTGTCTTTGGTAATCATGTACCTTCAGGAAAAAATGTGCAAAAGGCCTTGAACCATTCAGCATGAAGAGGAGGTGTTCAGCTGCTGGTAAGTAGATGGAATGAAAATAAAAATACAAAACACTTGATGCATTTCATCTCTTTGCACTTCTTCAATGGCACCAAGAAGGCTCTAGATCAAATAATGTGAATGGTGCTAATTAATCATCAGATTTAGTCTTGGTTTAGGGATATCAGGGAATCTATGGTCTTTTGATTCATGGGAAGAGACTCATGTAATCATACATGTGACAAAAATTGTTTTTTAGGGAATGGATTTGTAGGCAAATCCAGTTAATAGTTTTAGCCGAAATAAAGGGTGAAATTTGAAGTTTTGAAATATGTAAAAATATTTTTTTAACTCTGAAAACATTTTGTCCTTTTTTTTTGTAAAAAAATGTGTATTTTCCTTTTTTTTAAATTAAGTTCAGAAAATGAACTTGTGAGTTAAATGAAAGAGGCTGTGTGTCTCAAAATGTAATGTTTTCAGAGTTTTCTTTAAAAAAACAACAAAAACTAAAGATCTTTTTTTTCCACCTAAGCATATTTTCTTCCTCATTTAAGAAATTTGTTCATTGAAAGACAACAACTGTTTTTTCCCCCCAGGCCTAATTAGGATCTCCTATGCTGTCATTCACACTAAAAGATGTCTTTATCTCATATCTTCCTGAACACAAAGCCAAAAGTTTAAAAAGAGAAACTATTCAAAACAAGTAACTGCTTTGTTGGACTAAACTATCTTATGTTTAGAAAAAATGTAAGAGAAATTATATTTTATACTGTATCCTGAAAGTTGTTAAAGAGAGTACTAGTTTCCTTACTTTGCAAAATTTAGCTCTAGATGTTCAGCCAGATAATCTTAGTGCCTTCTGACTCCTGTCCTCATATTCAGAAAAGATTTTTCTTGGGATCCCAAGAAGAAAGAATTGCCAAGCAGTCAGATTTTATTTTTGTGATTACATTTAAATAGAGGTTGAGATTTGCAGAGATGCCTAGATCCAGACATTTTTTTTCCCCGAGAAATGAACATTAACTTGAAATTGCCAGACAAAAATATTTTCAATCCTTTTTCAAAAGATCTTTTTATATATCCAGAGTATTAAGGAAGAGTCTGGTGTTGGTAATTTTTGTTTCTTCATTTGTTTTGTATGTTTCCTACAAGGAACAGAAATCTGAAGCTTGCACCACAAACTGAACGATAGCTCAAGTCAGTTCAGACAAAGAACAACAGGGAGGAGGAATGTATCCACAAAATTAGTCAGGAGGGGCATTTCTGCCCACCAGAGAAGAATTCCTTTTCACCAGCTGTGATATCATTTAACAATGACAGCTCTCTGGTTTGTAAGTGCAGCATGTGTTTTCAATGCCTTATTTGCAACTGTTTTCTGAAATGATGATTTAAGGTCACATCCTGCTCGCTCAGTCCGCTCACAGTTTCTGTGGCTGTGTCGAGACAACTGCCATGAGTAAGGTGGATAGGCTTGTGGCCTCCAAGGGAAAATTCCCAGTGCTTCAGACCTGGACCCATCCTTAACCAGTAAGAGTGAGGGAAAAACTTGCTCTGTGGGTGGCCTGGGTCAGCCACGTCTGTCTTTGAAGTGGACCACACTGGCCACAGTTGGTGACAAGGTATCAGATGAGACAGCAGTTTCTGTGTTCATAGACTGTCCCTAAGGTTTTGCTCTGAAGGCATCACAAA